GGAAACTATAAACAGATGGGGCTATATCAAGTTAAAAACTTATGTACAACAAAAGAGACATTACTAAAAATAGTCAGACACCCCACTGATTGGGAAAAAATTTTGTCATACAACATTAGTGATAAAGGATTGATCACAAAGATATACAAAGAACTGATGAAACTCAACAAAAATAAACAACCCCATCAAAAAATAGGCAGAAGAGCTAAAAAGACACTTCTCCAAAGATTCAAAGTAGAAAGCCAACAAGCATATAAAAAAATGTCCAATATCACTGGTAAAAAGGGAAATGCAAATTAAAATCACAATGAAATTATCACTTCACACCAGTGAGAATGGCACATCTTAAAAGAAGTAGCAACAACAAATGTTGGCAAGGATGTGGAGAAAAAGGAACTCTCTTGCCCTGCTGGTGGGAATGCAAACTAGTACAATCACTATAGAAAACTGGAGGTTTCTCAAACTGCTAAAAATGGAGATTCCTTATGACCCAGCAATCCCACTCCTAGGTATCTACCCAAAGACACAAAAACACTGATTCAAAAAGACATCTGCACCCCCATGTTTACTGCTGCTTTATTTACAATAGGAAACATGGATGGAGCTGGATGGAATTATGCTTAGTGAAATAAGTCAGAAAAAAAAAAGAAAAATACTCATAGCAGAAGCATAAAGAAGCAGGGAGAAAAAATAATAATGAACAACTACATACCAGAGACATTTTACAGGGGTGGGTTGGGGAATGGTATTAAAATTGGGGAGGGAGGGGGGAGGTAAGTACATGGGACTGTGGTGATGGCACACAGGTGAAACAGTGATGGGAAGTCCACAGAGATTACAACTAAGATGGAGAAAGGCACAAAATGATGTAAAAATAACCTGTTATACTAAAAAAAATGTAAAAAAAAAAGTGGTGTGCTGAAGCTAGATAATCACTAGCTCTTCTCTTTGCTCCATGGGATTATGGTTGTATTTCTACTTAAACAACACGTTGGTAAGGCTAATCATTTGTATGTATTTTTTTGATGAAAGTCTAAATGCCTTAGTTTGCTAGGGCTGCAACAAAGTATCACAGATGAGACAGCTTAAACAACAGGAATTATTTTTTTCACAATTCTGGAGTATTGGAGTCAAGATCTAGGTGTCAGTAGGGTTAATACTCAAGGATTCTTTTCTTGGCTTATACATGACTATTTTCTTCAAGTGTCTTGACACACTTCTCACTGTGTGTCTGTATTCTAATTCGCTCTTCTTATACAGATGGGTAGCCTAATGACCTCATTTGACCTCAGAGTAGTCCTATTCTGAGGTAATGGACAGATAGGGCTTCAACATATGAATTTTGTTGGAACATAATTTCCATTTGTAATAGTAAACCCCTGAAGGAAAAAGAATGTATTGATATCTGTATCTCTGGTATCTAGAGGAGGTGATGAAAGAAAATGGATATTTCTTATAGAAAGTCTTTATTTCTACACTAGATGAGAAAACTGGAAATGAACCCCAAGCACATATTTGTAGCCCTCTAAGAATGCATGTGGTACAAAGTCATTCTGGCAAGGAGACAGGGAATTTTAACTGTACAACCTATCTATTTCCTTCCTTTCTCACTTACATATTGAAACACTATGAACAAAAGGATATATTGCCTGTCTTCAAGTGATGATAGGTCTGCTCAAATTGTTTCTCTGCCTCCTTAGTGTTACTGTATGTATTTATGTTCATAAGAGGTTATATACTATTTATTAATATATTTTGGGCTATATATTTGCTTTGCACAAGATTAGAAACATACTTTTACTTAGAGTTCTACATTTTTGTTTTTATTTTTAGTGTAATATTAAAAACACTGTCCTAAGTAGTGGTAGTTAAATATATGAACAAAATTTATATGAACACATCTTGGCTCAAATTCAGGGCCTACCATTTACTATCTTTGTGAGTTCAGGCAAATATGTATATTTTCTTTGCCTCAGTTTTCTTAAGTGGTCAACAGATTTTTAGAAATTACTTCAATGCTCTATGTAACAGCATTAAAATCTACTGACCACTTGTATTACATGGAATTGAATGGAAAATTCACATTTAGCTTTTAGTATCTTTGTGAAAGAAGTAAGGGATTTTATGGTACTTCAATTTCAAGGTAACTAAACTGGCTTTGGCTACATGTTCTGTTTCCTATTATATGAACACTCCAAGAGGCAATCTACTCACAAATACAGAGTCAAAGAGAGTCTTCCATAAAATGAATCGAAAGTGTTCAGAACAAACTTAATCAAAGCTTCAATAAAATTCCTTATAATTTCTAACTGAAAGATGTATGGATAAAAGGCAACTAACTAAATAAAGTAATGATTATATCATATGAGTTAGGCAAAACAAACAGAATCTTTTCAAGATTCACATAAATAAAAGAAAAACTTGAAGTTCATATCCACATAAAGTAATTTTTGAAGTCTTAAGCTAAGTTCTGTGTAGAGAAAACCAGTCTAGTAATATTTAATGATACAGGTTTCTGAACAATGATTGTGTTTACAAAACCAATAAATAAAACACAAAATTTGCCTTAGCTTGCCTTTACTTAAATGTTTATGAAATTTTGAAGTATTTAGACAATATAAGTAAAACAAAACTATACAAGATAAATGACAGACTCTGGAAAACTTATAATAGAAATTATAAAACAAATCTTAAACTTCTTAGCATTTGCCAGGTTACAGTAGTCTGTAGTGAAACAAGCAAGCCTGAAACAGCAGCTTGTTTAAAACAGGTGTCCAAGAGAATGTCACTTGATCTAATGCCTCCTTGCTTTGGTAAGTGATACTGACACCAAGGCCAGGAACTAGAATTATGCTTTGACTAGGTCTCTGAACTGACCACAATCTATTTAAGCTGCTTTAACATTTGAGCACCAAATGAATGTGCTATGTTAATTACTGTTATGTGATCTTGACGTGACTAATCCCTGTTCCTATTAACTTCCTAGTAAATGAAGCTTTAATGCTTAACTGATTACAAGAGCTGGGATAATCCAAAGCAATATAAAATTTAACAGATGAGGAGCAGTAAGTGGTGGTCACTCATGTAATTAAAATAAAATATATTTATTTTATGTGGTAGGACGATTAAATAACAATAGTAACTCCTATGTGACTCCAAAGTGGGTGTGCTTTTAATTCAGAATATAGCACCTGAAACACAAATCTAGGCAAACAAAACATAAGAAGCAATGTTACAAGTCAGAAGTATTTTTATTTTATTAACAGTAAACTTAAATATATAACAAATAAATGGAATTAGTAGTTCAAAATATGTTACTTATTAGGACAAAGCAGTACCATACTAGATTTTGTAATAGTTTAAATGGTCCTTTTAGGCAGTGGCCTGAGAGTAGTACTTTTAGGAAAATGACTAACCAAATTGACATTATGGCCAGAGTGATATGTTCAGGTCAAGCATTCACCTATAGTCTGCATACTGGAACCTGTGTTAGTCTTTGGAAACAATTACTGACTTTCTCCTTCTTCCCACAGTCACAATTACTACCACCAACTCCTATTAACTAATTATTATTAAGCAGGTACTCATTATTTCAAATACAATTTAAGTTAAAGTAACAGTTTACAAAATATTGTATCATGATTCCATTTCTGTAAAACAACATCTGTTCTTATGAGTGTGTATTTTAAAAATGTGAACTAAAACAGCAATAGCAGTTACCTGGGAAATAGAATTACATAAAAACTTTTATTTCTGCTTTCTGTTTTCTCATATTTTTGAAATGTCAGAATGAACACAAAATACCTTTAAAAAACAAAACCTATTTTACTTGCAACCACATACTCTGTTGTGTTGATACTTTCTGTTTAGTTGTGGGTTTAGGAGAAAATTGTATCTAGGGTTTAGGGTTAAAATTACATCTAGTCCTGAGAAATGATGTAAAAAATTAAAAAAAATTAAAATATATATATCTAGTTCTTTACAATAAACTATTGAGATTCCTTGGGCTCCATTTTAGGTGTTAACTAGAAATATTATCCTAAGTAACAGTGATGTAACTTTTATAATAGGGGAGGGAAAATGCAAATGAAAGGCTTAATCTTATTTAACATGACAGAAGACACTTTCAATTATTTCAAAACAACAGAAATAAAGACCAAGAAGAGGGTTGAATACTAATTTCAACTCATCATTTGTTACTGCTAATAAGGTAATAAGGTCACCAAGGTTTTGCTGGTGGGTTTCCTGCAGTCACAATTCATATACAGACCTCATAATACTTTAAATGCCACTTACTAAGAAATGTTCAGATAGTTAAAAAGTGCCAGTACAGTGTGCTCACTTAGGGCCTATGGCTTCTTTTTCCTCTTTAATTTAAGAGACAATTAAAAAGACTTGTATAAAAAGAATTTTAAAGAAGCAGGTTATGACCTAAACTAAAATATAAAGCATTTATGAATAGATTTCAGTTATTTCTTTTAGGTGCTTACATGTTCAAAAATCTATCCTTTCTTTGTGGTCAGAATTTTTAATTTTATGTCACTAGCTATTTTCATCTAAATAAAAACCCTCAGTTGTGCAGCTTATAAAATAAATTGAGACAAATGATCCTTATGGTATTATTCTCTGAAAAAAATATGAGGTTGTAAAAAGTATTTTTTATTTTTCCTTAGTTTTAATCGGATTTCATAACTAGTAACAATGGTATTTTTAGTAATAATTTCATAGAGGCCAGAATTATTTTTTACTAAAATATATTCTATCAAATACATATTTATGTTTACCTATAACTACCAGTAACTATTTCATAGAAATAAAGTGAGATTATTTCTCTAATAAAATTTCACATCTTTCAGAATACTAAAAAAGAAAATTTCACATCTTTCAGAATACTAAAAAAGAAAAGAAAAAAGAAAAGAAAAGAAAAGAAAAGAAAAGAAAAGAAAAGAAATCAACATTGGTAGTAAGTACTAAGGAAATTTCAAAAGCAAATGACTCACCTGATGACCTGGTTGCAGTGGGCACACATGGGGGTGCGTTTCCCTGCTGGAATGTGCTCAGCTCTTTGTACTAATGTGTCCTGGTCACTGGGTTGGGGCTGCCCAACTGCTGAGTTGGCCAGAGCCAATGCTCCAGAGGAAGTAGCACTGTTTGAGATTCTACCAGTAGAAGGTGCTAGGAGATTAGAATGGAAGAATGAGAATGAGAAAAAACCACACAAAGCTTTTTCTAATTATCAAATAGTATTGCATTTTAAAATAATCTATTCACCCACTTACTCCCTCACATTTATGGAGTGATTATGTATCAGACACTGGACTGTGACTACACGGATAAACAGAAAAGAAAATCAAGCATTACAACAGGAGAGCGTTATGGCAATGATGTCATAAGATGTAAAAAAAAAAAAACTGCTACTAAAGAAGACACGGGTAAAGGTAAATATTGATAGCAAGGTGTTTCTAGTCATTTCTAGTCATTTAAATATCACTGCTAACCATTACTTATTAATTTCAAACATAACACAGGAACATAAAAAAATCACGTTAAGGAAAAGAAAATAAAAAAACCTTCCTATATTTTCTCTCTTCCTAAATTCCCTAAATAGACTGCAGTCAGTCACCCAATCACATCAGAATCATACAAGGGCCTTTCTCTCCTCAGTTTGATTACATATGACTTTATATCGCAAATTGTTCTTAATTTTGTCACTTCATCGCCATTTCAAATGTTGTCTTGGTTTAGGTTCTCAATGCCTTCCATATGGAACAGCATCAAAATTTCTTACCCTTGAATTTATCCTCCCTACAGCCACTAAACCTGAAATTTGGCCCTATTACAACTTAGAAAACCATTTCAAAGCTGTCCCTCTTCTATGTAACAACTGAATGGACTTTGACCTTGTTTAGAATTGCATAAAAATCCCTCCAGCTTTGTCTCCCTATGGCCTCACCTTTCACCACTTTGCCTTTCATGCTTTGTGCTACAGCAATACCAAACTGTCTTGTGTAATACAAACTGTGTTGTATATTTATGCACATATTGTAGTCACTGTCATTTTCCTATCTTCCCTATGTGCATGTAACCACTATTCAAGATTCAGCTCAGAAGTTAACTGCCCCCCAGAATCTTCCCTGAACTACTACTCCTTACTGTCCCTTTCATATAGGCACTGTTAAATGTTTATCTTCCATCATCTCATCATTTTCTGAGTGACTTTATTATTGCTTCTACTACATGTATCTGTGTCTTTTCTTCCCCAATTAAATAAGTTCACTGTGTGTAAGAACATTGACTTATTCATCACCCTTGCAACTAATAGAGTGGCTGGACTTATTGACTGAATAAATCATTGAAATCAATGAAATCCATGATGAGTAAATGTGAAAACTATAAGAGAGTGAAACCATCAGAAGGCCTGTTTCTTATCTACAGGCAATTAAAATGTAATGGAATAGAAAGAGACAGATTAAAAAGGAACATCTTTTAAGAAAAGTATGCAAATAAAATAAATTAACTGTATGTTTGTTAACAGGATCCATATTGAAGGTGTCATTAGAATTGGATAAAATTAGGGTAATTGGAAGGATCAATCTCCCTCATCTGAATGAATCCTGTTTCCTCTGATGTACAATTATAGATCCAGAACCCCAGGGTTTCCAAACACTCAGCACAACTCTCATAAACTCTTCCTGACAGCTGAGCAATGAAATTGGACTTTCCATTTCCCTAGCAAAATCAGGGAGCTCTGCCATTGCCCACATTTCACTGAGTCAGTTGCACTATAGGAACATGTTTTCCTTCTCTTGTTATCACATTTTCTTTTACAGAGATATAGAAAAACATTATGGTAATATTTTCATTTTATGTGTTTTATTTTTCGTTATCTTATTTACTTTTACATTAAACTCTCTCCTCTGTGTCTTCAGGTTCTATCTGCAGGCCTAATTTCTTGTAGAGCACCAGATGTGCATTTTCAAAGTCATGTCTTGTTCTTTAAACTCAGATATTCAAAGGAGATTTCAATTTCATTACACATTATTACCAGTTCTTAGAAATATCTATGTTTGATTTCTCCCATTGACTCAGGCTTAACTCACACCCTCCTTGCAAGACAGTCTTTAGACTCCTAACAACTATTTCATGGTAATGGTTCCAAGGTTTGTCCCTTTTTCTAATCCAAAATCACCCTTTCTCATTTGAGTCATCATCTTGAAGGCGTCATCTTCTGGTCTATTATCAGTCACTATGTCCCTTGTTTCTTCTTTAACTTGTTCTGCTAGGTTATTTTTCCAAACACGCTGATCATATTTTCTTGTTTGTAATACTTTCTTAACTCCCTGCTCAAAACTATATGCAGCCCCACCCTTCCATAAGCTCACTGCAATCTTCTTTACAATCTTATCTTTTATTTACCCTCATCACCATGTTGGATTATATTCACTTAGTATTTAACTTGGGCTATCAGTGTTTGAAGCCCTATATAACAGCCCTATGATTTATGTACAATTAGCACCACTGTTTTCTCTCTGAATCTAAAAGAGGCTGAGAAAACCTGCCCAAGGTCACACAACAAATGGAGAACTGGATTGAGGCAGTCTAGGTCCAGCTACCAACTTTTTAATTCCAAGTTATAGTTTATCCTCACTGTTTCTTAAACAGGCCAGGCTAAAACTTGACTCTATGAACCTCAGCCAATGAAGTGTCCCTTTAGCCACTGTAATCTATGGTTTTCCTATCTGCAAAGCTCATGAAAGCACCACACTTTTCTCCAGTACCTCTTCATCATCCCAGCTAGAATCTTTCTTTTGTTCACTCTAACACCCCCTACAATGTGCTATTTATTAAAATCCTGTAAATCAATGATAAACTTTTCCTCCTTAAATCAGTGATAAACTCCTTTAAAAAATGGGAACAAGCTCTATACTTCTACCCACTATCAGAAAACTGTTTTATAAATGCAAAATTTATGGAAAATGGAAAGGGAAAATTCTAAGTCATTTCACTGTGCCTTTTTGAAGACCACCATAGATATGTTTTCAAAAGTAGATTAGGCTCAGGATTTCAAATAATAGGATCATTACCAATGGAAAAATCTGAAAATCAGACCTCAAAGAGAGTCTAATGCTTTCATGTACCATATGCCTTTATTTTATCACATTATCTATGCCTAAGCCTCAAAGTACTGAGTCAGAGACATTTTTAGCAATAAAGAGAGTGTAGTAATTCTCCATCGGGCATTGTAAAATGGGACATAATCCATCTGGCCCATGCTTCAAGGAGAAGGTACATGGGGAACTAACAACATAAAAAGCCATTCTTAAACATGAAACATGTGACGTGTCTTAATCACATTTAAAATGCCTCTAAGCTCACTACTGTTCTTTCTTTGGGATGAATAGTCTTGTTTTGTGTTAACTGCCCCATTTTAACCACCTTGCAAAAGGAAGAAATTCTCACACTTCTGTTTTATTCTATAATGCTAATATCTCTGCTGCACACAAAGCCACACAAGCCCTATTCATTAGAAACCCTTAAATATTTTCAAGGCTCAGTTATTTCTTGAATGAATAAGGTGATATTTCATTTCTTCAGGCTGAGTTTTTCACTATGCTAGTATAGAAATGGACAACATCAGAGTAGTCAAGTACCAACTGGCCTCTGCTTATTGAGAGAGGGAAGTATAAGAATGTGAGGACTTCAGAGAGGAGAAGGACCACAATTCAGCTCTAATTTCTTTCGGTAGAGAACACTATCATAAAGAGAAAAAAAACAAAACAAAACAGTCTTTCATGGGCAGTATAGTGAGTAAAATAGATTTGTTCCATAATAAAATTCACCTTTAATTTACAAAAATATATACATTTATTTAGCAATAGCAGTTTAAAGGTATTAATCTACTTTGCAATAAAAAGGTTTTTTTTTTTTTTAAAAAAAAATCTAATCAGCTATTAAATAGAAGCACTGAATTATCCTCCTTTCATATTCTGGGTATCTAAGTCACAAAAAATTTAAGTAACTAATTCTAACTGAATAACAAGTGAGTCTATCAAGTGTTACAGTGAGAGTACTAAGTAGAAACTTAGTTCTTGGCTCAAGTTTTTTTTTTAGTTTTAATCTTGAACAATTTTCATTTTATGATTCTATTCTAAACCATTGGGTCAGTGATTGAAAATCTTTTTTTTTTTTCCTTTTCTATGATACATTTAACACCACACACAATTCATCTGGAAATTTAAAGACATTAATTTCCAAACTAATGGTGTTGGTGACAATGTCTTTTATTAAATTTAAATTGGTTTCTCTAAACCTTTCTTCTAAAGGTTTAGAATAACAAACATTCAGACTTACTGAATGCTATGGTTTTTCAGCACTATGATGATAGCCTAAGTTTAGTGAGCATAATGCATAAATAATAAATAAATTACAAGGAAAACCAAGGAACACATAAAAATGCTCTCTGTGTATAATATATAAACTTGCCAAGTTAATCATAGAAAAGACAGACAACCCTCACAGAGTTGCTAGTTTTTAAAATAGTTATCAGTGATGAAATCTGAGAATTCCTAGGGGCAATACTCTTTTAAAAAGCAAACAGATATCTGGTTTATTAAACATGAAATTTAATTTGCTACCAATAAACCCTCTCTTTCAGAGATATGAAAATTTTAGAAGTTGAACCACATGTTCCTTTAGTTGGATACCTACCCTTGTTACTGAGGGAAACTTGGTGGTAGATCATTTGGAAAGAAAAAGTGAAAATTCTTTACTCTGGAAAGATCTTTACTGCTTCCCTCACCGCCCCCCCCAAGCATATAATGTAAGTTTGTATTACTTAGCAAATTAGTAAACACAAGTTTTAAACAACGTTAACCAGAGATTTAGTTTTTTTCTCTAATCATTGCAAAGCTTTAACTAAGTGATTGTCAAGTTTATTAAAGTAACTTGAATACAAAGAGACCACCTAAGTATATTACTGGAGGTTTGTATAATATTGTGATGTACTATTACATATGTAATACATAAAAGATTAAAACTTAATTTACTATGTTCTACAAAAATAACTGAGCCCACTAAAAGACATATAAATCATTCCCAGAGAGAAATCACAGGGGAAAACCAATAGATGTATGAATATATGTGAGAATTCTCTGAAAATAGATGTTTTCTAACTG